TGGAGTTACAATAATGAAAAGAAAAAATTCTTATGGCTATGTAGAGGCATTGAGATACAATACAGCTGGGTGAATAGGGAGGCTATTTTTTGGGCTATTTTTTAATCTTCTTTCATTGTAATTTTCTGATGGGGAGATAAGACTCTTTATCTCCCCCTTTTTTGTACCTAAAGCTTCATAACTCTTAATAAAGTTTCTGTTATTGATCAAAAAAAAAGAATTCAGGAGCGGTAACAACTAGGCATACTGACCTGGTGTGAGCCTACCGGCTGAAAATTGTGTTGTTCCAGATGCATCAGTCGTGGTGCAAGCTGCAATTTGGAAATGAGAACAGTCCTGAGAACCCGTATGGTGCTTTCAATTGGTTTTTCCTTTCTCCCACCCATCGGATAGCCATGAAGTTCACAGCAGGGGTCCTTCGTGTGGCCGGTCTTTTTACAGTGATCGCACTTATATTTTGAGCGCAGGTTGCCACGGCTTCCATTTTTGGTAGAAAGATTGAAGGCCGCAACTTCAGGTGGTATGGTACCCTGTTGGCAACTAATGCTTGGTGCTTCTCTTCTTGGATAATGAGAGCGTAGGCACGACTGATGCTGGGAAGTGGTTTAAGAGCCAAGAAACTAGAAAGAATGCTGTTAAATGAGTCATTCAGCCCCATCAAGAATTGATAGAGGTGATCTCTTTCTCGCTCTACAGAAAAATCCTTACCCGCACCACATGTGCAATCAGAAATAACTGCAAGATCCGTCAGTGCATCCCACAATCCCTTAATCTTGGTGTAGTAAGATGCAACGGAGAGCTCACCTTGGCAGAGCAATGACAAATCTCGCTTCAACTAGTAAATTCTTGGCCTGTTTCCTTAGGAAAATCTCTCCTCAAGAACTTGCTAGATTTCTCGTGTTGTGTCTGCATGGGAGACGCTTTCATGTAGATCACGAGCCAACGAGTTGAACAACCACGAGATGACCATGGAGTTACAATTCTCCCATGCCATCCCTTCCACTGTCGACAGGTTTGGTTTCCGAATTGATCCATCAATGAAGCCATATTTGTTTTTCGCTCGTAAAACATTCCTCATAGCTTGCTGCCACATGGAATAATTTTCTCTGGTGAAGGGACAAGAGACCAATACAGATCCCGGATTGTCTGATGGATGCAGGTAATAGGGAGAAGCTTGATCAATTTCTCCAACCACGACGGAACTTCAAATAATCTTGGAACAAGGGATCTCTGCGTAGTAATCTTGGAACAGAGGATCGGAAATGGCGGAAGAAAGAAGAAAGATCGAAAATGGTTCGCAAAAAAAGAAAGAAAGAAGTAAGACGCAACCTGGTAATGGCTACCAGAATCGCAAGAAAAAAGAAACGGAGAAAGAGTTCTTGGATCTGGCAGTCACGGCTCTAATGCCATGGAAAACAGCAGAGACAGACAATGAAGAAAGTAATTCTTCTTGTATTTGAATATATAACACCATACATATTTATACTTGAGGAAGAGGAAACATGTGCGAAAAGCAAGTAGAAGACAAGTGGTTGCCTGGTTGCCACATCAGCTATTTCGATTACAACAAATTCACCGGTGAAGTTTTCACCGACTTACTCAATACTTCCAAACTGAGCCTTATAGATTATGCAAATGGTGTCTTAGAAGGCATTACATTATAATGCACCACCTTAGTGAAACTTAGTAGAATGTAGAATTGGACTTCAAATGATCAGTTTACAGGTGCTATCATTCCTATACCTTCTTGTGGTAAATGTGTAAAGCCCATAAAACCATAAACCAGAAAATACAGAAAGTTCAAGCACCAAACCATCCAAAATCTAGGAACTCCAACTACAAGGCTACTTTTCAGTCCAATCAAAATATTTGATCTTGAAGTAAAAAAGATATTTCTACAGGATTGAAAAAAAAATAATAATAGAGATTCCAAAGCTAATGGCATATTAATACTTGCCTGTTCTGCTGTGATACCATTTTCAAAAGCGTTATATAAACTTTCTTTTGTTATTGCTCCAACTATAAGATTTGGAAGTTGATATTCAACCCTGTGTTTCTCACAACAGAATAACGAGTTCAGAAATGTAGTACAGATCATTAGGTAATATTCAATGAAATATGGTTTGCAGCACAGCTTCACTATAGATGGCATCTTGCTGTGTACAGGCACAGCACAGACTAAAGCATTACACGTCAATCAAGTTGCTAAATTTTATGATTAGATCCTGGATTGGCTACAGCCCAATATACCAAGTAATGTAGTTTTGAGACTTGAAGGGCATACATTGACCATCCAACATAATAGAGAATGCCCAAACAGAAATACTGGTGGCTTGATTTTTCTGGACGGCTGACAAATTTGAACAAAATTAAGATTTTTGGAATAAATAAAGGATATTATAATAGCAATTAAGTTGGCCAATGGAGTCAAAAGTGTGTTGTATGGCCAAGGATTAATGTATTGGTATCGAGTATCGTATCGGACAACTTGGATACGAATACGCTTTGGAAACACATGGATATGTACGAAAAATATGGATACGCTAGGGTAACACAAAAATTTTATAATACATTAATAATATTAAATTTAAGGTGAAATAATCATAAATTATGTATAAATACATAGAAAATGTATATTTTAATGGTGTATATGAAAAAAAATATATTACAATTAATATAACATGATACATAAATATCATACAATTTTATTGATAATGTATCAATCAAGAGTCCAAAATGCAAAACATATTTTTCTATTATATTTTAATTATTATATCAATTATTTTCGATTTTACTATTTTTACTTTTTTACATTAACAAAGAGGTCAACCAAATATTAAATTCTCTATGTAAATTAAAATATCCATTAATAATTTATAAAATGTATAATCTCAACTTAAAATATATCAAATCTATTAAAATTTCTAAGATACATATCATATGCAAATTCATAATTTTTAACTTTTAAAATGATTATTCCTATAATTTTCTAATTAAAAATCTTTTTTCAGTATAAATGTAGATTAGTAGGTTTGATAGATTCTATTTAAGATTATATTCTTGAATATTTTGTGAACATTTTTTTATTTTCTAAATAATAAATATGATTTTATGTAATGTAAATTAATATATATATATCATGTGCAAATTTATAATTTTTTAGTACTAAAATAATTATTCTCTTATTAATATTATATTTTTATATATTTTTTGAGATTCAAATAATATTTTGGTATAAATGTAGATTTGATATATTATTTATTTCTATTATTTTATAAAATACTGATTTTAAATATTACGTTTTTAATTTTTAGTTGGAGTTAACTGTAATATGTATTATTTATTTGAATTGCATTTAAGTAATAAAGAAATAAAAGCTATATTCATTTACTCATAAACACCAAAGATGGAGTGGTGTAGTGGCTTACAGGCGTGAATGTTAAACTCTCCCTTAACTCTTGATGCGGGTTCAAATCCTTGCGACTTTCATTTTTAGTAGAAAAGTATGTGCATGCGCATTCGCATCTCATGGGTGGTGTATCATTCTATACCAGTCCGTATCGATATGTATCGGATGATACAGTGCAATACGGACTGATATACACTCGTATCAGCCCGATACGCACGACTAGCAGGATACATCTCCAGTCGTAGTGTATCCCGTGCTGGACACTAATGATACCGATACGAAACGCCCTGTATCAGACGTATCATATTGATATTTCAATCCTTGGTTAGAGCTGGGGTTGGTACTAATAATGGTATTTAATCAATGAAGAAAGGAAAATAGGAAATCAATGCTACACAATGCCATCTATAAATTTGAAAAATCACCGAACAATTGGAAAGAAAAAGGCAATTTGGTGCATTAAAAAAGTAGGGCTCATATCAATGTGGTTATATGTTTATCTTGAGCAGTGAGTTAAAAGGCACACCTAGGCACATTTTAGGGTAAACACCTCGCCTATGTCCTAGGCACAACACTTCCAAAAGGCTTGCACCTGGTGTGCCTAGGTGCGCCTTGCACTTCAACCCAGGTATGCACCTTTTGAAAATCTATGCACTTTTTTTTGTGTTTAGAAGTTGGGTCAGGGGCTCCACCCTTGGACCCCAACCAAGTCCCTCGAGGCAAGCCTAAACAAGTCCATATCAGGGTCTTAAATTCTTAATCCCTATAAACAAAGGTTTTATAAGTGTTGGAGCTTGTTTGGGCTCCTAGAATGAGGAATGCATAATGTTTGGACTTGTCTGGGCTTTGCCACAAGGGGCTTGGTACAAAGGCAGCTCGTAGAATCATTAATGCATAATGTTTAACATCACATTAGCTATTTGAAATAATGTAATTGGCAAAAAAATAATGAGATTAAGAGTTTAGATGCTTGAATATGTTTTATATGTTGCATTTCATATTGTTTTTTAATTGTCATTTGAAATATGTTTTACATGTTATTTATGTATTTTAATTTGTGACAATAGGTTTTTTGAAGCATTTGTTTTAAAATTCAAGTCCATATTTTGAATGAATAATGTGTTTAATATTTTTAATATTTTGCATTTTCTTAAAGTTTTATGACTTTTTTTAAGCCTTGAAACAATTCGCCTTTGCCACAAAATGGCTCTTGCGCTTTTTTTGTGCCTTGTGCTTTTAAAACACTGAGTCTAAGATAGTTTTTTAAACTTTCTCATAAGGCCATTTAGCTCTAGTGATTATTTTGTCAAACCTAGCAAAAAGATGCCCTTCCATAAAATTGAACCTTTTGGAAATAGAGAATGAATCTTATCATTAGACTCCCAAAACAACAAAGTATAGCTTACCTTGAAAAAAGGCGCAAAATCTCACAATGTAGTTTAGATGATGAGTATGCATACATCCTAAAATTTGTTTCCACAACCACAAGTCCCTATGTGAACAAAAAATATATTGGTACAGTATTACCAAGCAATACATTATTCAATTTCTAAAAATGCTGATGCTGCAAAAATATAGCAACTTAATACAAGAACAAAGGGAAAAATATGAATATTTAAGTCTTGAAGGATGGGATATATTCAAGGCAAAATTGAGATAAAGTCATCCTCTACCAGAATTGTGCTACATAGAGCATACACAGAAAGCATTGAAGATCAGCATTTTGGAATATCTTGCAAGCTCATTTGGAAGACAGGGAATTGATCCTACTCAAAATCCAAATTAAACCTAAGGAACTTATTGTATGGGGTGTGTGTGTGTGTGTAGTTGATATTTAACAACCTAGAGAACTCTATAGATTAGACTATCAGTATATGCCAATGAAGACATCTTCTGCCCAAGTGGTCTCTGTTTTGGAATGGTAGAATACTGATGTATTTCATTCTATTGCCAATCGGCATATTTATACARTAAGYTGCTGCAATAAATAGAAAGAAGAAAAAAATAGAAAGAAAAGAAAATAGAAAGTAAAAAAATAGAAAGAAAAGAAAATAGAAAGTACAAGAATAGAAAGAAAGAAATAGAAAGAAAACTTTCTAAATCAATC